TCATTCATTTTACGAAAAGGGAATTTTCGTCGATATATATGCTAGTTAAACATGTAAAAAAACTGAGAGTATAGTTTAACATGTAATGCTTTTATATTCAAGTAAAGATAAAAGAATAAGCATATCAGGATAATTTATTAAATAATCTTTGTGAGGGAAATAAAGTTAATTAGATCTGCCAGAAATTTCAAAGAGGAATATTTAATTTTCTTAAGATAACATATCTTTCAGATTTCAATGGAGCAAAAGAAAATAATATATTTGCATACACTGTGTAAAAAGAACCGAATTTAGCTCTAAATTTAATTTAAGTTGATAAAATTAATTTGACAAGTTAAATCATATTATTAATTATTATTCTGCACTATTTCAACTTGAAATGTTTTCCTTAACTATTCTTTGCTTACGGCGTTGCAACTATTCTTAAAACCTCGTGTCTTTTCATTCGCAATTTTTTGCAGAATTTAAACTTTGACAAAATTCATATCTTTAAGTACACTGTAAATTGACTGAAAGCATATGGTGGTTTATTTATAATTCTACACTTTTTTCCGCGTTATGCATAAATAAATTATTAAATTTTATCTTATTTAATATCATGAAAGAAGCGTATATATATATATATATTGAGAGACAGAGAGAGAGGGATTAAAACTGTAATATTTATAAAATTATAACAAGCCCAGAACTAAAAGCTGCAATAAATTTAGTGTCAATAACAGAAGAAACTTTGTAGACTTCAATCCTCAAGTTAGTATTCTTTTTAGGACAACAAGGAAACAAAAACACTGCAAAAACAAAATCAAGGTGCAAAAACACTGCACTCGATATCCAAGAAGGTTTATTAAAGTCTTTCGTTTTTCTGACGCCTGTTTGACTGAATTAATAGTTAAATGCGGAACAAAAGTTAAATCATGAATAGAAATTAAGCCAATTATCATATTTTTTAATCATTACTAAAATATTGAAATAATGGCAATTATTTCAATACGACCAAACGTTGCTTTCGGCAAAACAATATATAGAGAGACAGAAAGAAAGAGAGAGAATAAAAAGTGAACGACGGATAAAAACTGATTTTTTCTCCTACAATTTAAACACAAAAAAATGTATTACAATTGTAAACCATTATTCGTTAAATGACTAGTTTGCAAAACCAGCAAACAAAGAGTGAAAATATTTTTAAAAATAAAACAGGTTCAACATCATATTTTGCTAAAAGAAAAATATCTGAAATAAAAAAAATTAATGCCATCCAATGAAAATAAATTGTATCGCAACATTACATCCAAAATTCCTAAATTTCCGAAATACAACAAAGGAAAAGGCATCCAATTATATAGAAACTTAAGTCCTGTTTTATTCTTTTGGAGGAAGTAATTCTAATTTAAGAATTTAGACAAAATTTTTAGAAAATAGTTTCAAAATATGCATGTACCTATTAAAAGCTATAACATTTCATGCCAAAAAATAATGATTATTAAGATTTCAAAGAAAAACTGCTTTGAAACTAGCTCTTATAAATTAACTTTCATTAACTTATTTGTCGTAATTATAGTTATATATTTACCTTATTTCATATCAAAATTTTATTTTATGTGAATGTTTCAGAAGAAAAAAATCTAAATTAATTATTTTCAATTCAAGAGGGCGAAAGATAAAAGACGAAAACGGTTTTCGATTTCCTAGCATTCGGGTAAAATTGCGAAGTAGTCTCTTGTAATCTTACACGAGATTATGATTACTCGGCGCTTGGGCTAATCAGTCAGCTTATAAAGAATTTTCTCCCTCCTTTCGGCATGCCTTCGCGGTGTAGCTAGAAGCACACTCGCCGGTTATGCGAGATTTCCTTGGTTCTAATTCCGAGCATTGCACATTTGCACATTTTCCAAATTTTCTCTCTTCCAAAAAAAAAAAAAAAAACACCATATTGATCCTACAAGTGGCTTCCGAACTAAAAGTTTGCAAACGATAATATGTCACTACCTGGATTTGGAGATTGGGTCCCCTAATCACCAGTTGCCCTTTAAAACGGGGGAGTTTATAAGGTTTTTTCGCTCTCTTTTACATATGCCTTAGTGATGTAATTGAAAAGCACACTTGACGCATATTCGAGAGGTCTGAAGTTTGATTCCCGGCGAGAACATTGCCGTTTCTTCAATTTCTCTGATTCAAAAAAATCCTAATGACTCTACAAGTTGAATACTTAAAGGTGGTTGATTACATTGCTAAGCCTGGAACTTAGCCATCTTTGATGTATATATATTTTTTGAACTATAATAAGATCTGCATCATAATTCTGTGCAAATTTTATCAAGAGACTCGTGGCTTCGCGTGCTTTTTGGAGGTTGATATCTGAATGCATCTGATACAATCTTTGTTGTCGTCTTTTGTATCTGAGGGTATATTGGTAACCTATGTTATATTATTGCCATAAAATGCGACTGGGGGAGTAGAGGCACTCTATAGACAATGTTCTCTGTTGTGATTCCTTTTTGTGATATAGTTCGTATGGGTGCCATCCAGGGAAACGCTTTTTACTTCATATCAGTGTTTTAAATACTTGTGAGGAGTAGTTCGATGATCCATTTCACATTGTGCTGGTATGTTGTAAGATGATGGAGGACCTTTAATGTGTGATGGTTAAGATTCAGTTATGCAGCTAGAATGCACCGCAATTCTTCTTGTGCATTGTAGGTTATATATTACATAATGCGCAGATTGACTTTTGTTGGATTGGCGTCTTTGTGTTCACTAATACTGCAGCTCGATTCTATTTTATGGAATTTTCTAGGTTTGTAAGGTCCTTTGCTTTCCAAGGTCGTTTTTGTATGGCACTCAATTCCAATGCCTTTGTTTTGAACTTGGTGAAGTGTTAATATTTTGACCCCGAGTTTCTGCAACGGTATAAATTGTGACAATTGTTGTCGCATTTGATCTCTCCTTTAATCTTTATTGGGCTATATCAAAACAACTTGCTTGAGACTTTTGATCGCTTCGGATATATTTTTCTGGTATTGCAGTCTTCCTCTTGATGCTCTGCTGCGAAATCTCAAGTTATTTTGTCAGTGCGTGCGTTAGGGGTAGATTGGAGAGAGCAATTGTCTTCAACTCGTTCAATACTTGGAGAAATATACTTGCTCCGTATGTGAGACGGAATTTGAATTTCCACTTAGAACTTTTTATAACTTATATACATCCAGATTTTTTGTTTCGTAAGTATTTAAAGAAGAGTGTTGAACGCGCCTGTTGTTAGGCGTTCAAGAGATGATATATATATTGACTACTGTGATTCCTGTTTTCGCAGAGTTAGATAATACTGATGTATCTTAGGAAATTTTGAAGATTATCGTTTTTCAGTATACCAATAATAGTAGTAAATGTTTGGCAATTAATTAGGTCCTATCATTTCAGTTCATTTGTTATCTAATTTAGTTCTGTGTAGGCAGTTTAATATTGCAAATACACATATATGTGTTGGGACACATTCGAAACAACAAAAGTAAAATAACAGGTATAATATATCAAGATACGCTAATGATTGTTACAATGGTAATTAAGATTACAACAGCAACGAATTCAAGATGTAAAATTTACAAATATAATTCTAAAGAATTATTCAAAAATCACTGTGAAGTTATTGTCCCCGAACCCACGATCTTAAGGCCAGTGGAATACTTTTACTAGCTTTGTTTCGTTTATTGCGTTACTGAAGATACTCATTTACAAGTAAGAAATAACTTTCTAAATTTAACAGAAGTAACATTAGTTGGAACGATAATAAAATTTACAAACACCCAGGCAAGTCCGCGAGCTTCGCCCACCGTTCCGGACGTTCTGTGGGGGAAAAACATGCTGCTACATCTTCTATCTTAAGAATGTTGAAGAAGTTGTCAGCCAAACGATGCGTCAAGACAATTCCCTCGAAACTTCTGAGGAGCTAGGGCCTTCTTTATAAAGCACGAGAAATACCACATTTACTCTCGTATTCCCTTCGTTTTCCTAATTTTATCATCTGAAAATCTACGAGGGGGGGGGAATTACGTAAGTAATTTAATTCCTCAGACGCGATTACAGTAAGAACTAATAAATAAAAAGTAGTCATTGATAAACTACTGATAACTATCACAATATTATTTTTAAAAGAAATCTACATTCTAATAAGAATGTAAATTAGTAAATATCTGAGGCATATTGAGCCCATATCTTATGCAACTGAAATCTGCGCGATGTGTCCGTCTGAGTGGTCTTGTAAAGTCCCAGAAGCACTTCATATGAATGAGTCTTGACCTCAGTCTGCCAAAAGAAATATTGCAAGAGCAAAGGAGGAGGAGGCAAAAGATCGATGTCAAAAGATCGAACCTATCAGCAGTAGGTAAGACTGCAACGCTCTAAAACATAAGTAATAGAAGTAAGGTAAAGTCACATGTTTGGAAAATTTTTAAGTTTGAGAACCTTGGTCACGTCCTGTTAATTTAAAGAATAATTTTCATAAAACACGTTAGTTATAAATAATAAATTCAAGGGAAATTCAAATGGATGCAGAAATGCAAATACAAATTGAATACACTGAATAAAAATGAAAATTATAAACGGAATGCAATTTACCAATGAACTAGACCTCAAGGTACAGAAATGAGTGCAGTAGAGAATGAAGAAATTATGGGAAAATTTTTGACATTTTTAGAACCTGAGCTAATGGTGGAATACGCGAGGGGGAAAACACGCGAATGATGTATTGTAAAGTTTGAAAGCTTGATATTTCCCTTTTGGACTTATTCAAAAGGGATGAAGAAAACTGTAACAATTCCAAACAAATATTCGAGCTTTGTAATAGTTTGACTTCATATCTACATAAAGAGTTTAATAATTAGAGGATAAAATTTTGCTAAATAACTTATTTTTCATTATTATCTGTTTTATCAAATTATTACGCTATTTCTTATAAATAAATTATTATTTATTTCAACAAAATCTAATCAAGCTTTTATTTCTTTCAGGAATGCTACTTTAGAACAGGGATTATGACTTTTAGAATAATCAGCAGACCTCTTTTACAAATTATGATGGCTGCCTTAAATATCACGACGACTGTATCCACACAATTTATAGCTGATGCATCTCGACTGGGCCAGTAGCGGCATTTGCAACAGTTGTCGAATATCATCATTAATAACATTACACAATATGCTTGTAACTCAGACATGATGAAGAAAGGACTTTGCCTGTTCATTGTATATATCATTTTTATACAGATTTGGATATTTATTTCGTAATAAAAAATCTGCACCTTCCTTATTGACTCTCTTTTTTAAATACAGAGACGAAACAATTTACTAATATTATACCAAAAGCACCGCAAACATGTCACAAAAGCGGATTCGAATTAAAAGAAATTAAGATGTTTTTGGGTATTTTCTGACTTTGCGGTCGGGCTTTCATTGTAATTCGCATAGTCACACTATGTTGCACTAAATGTTCAGATTTCACACTGAATGCGCTAATGCTCTGCGTTGCAGAATATGTGATGTTCTGTTGATTAAAGTGGGGGTATATCAGTGAATATAAGCTTTATATGACCTGGCAGATGTTCCGTCGCGGGACTGAATTCACGTTGATAGTCTCACATATCTTATCCACAGTCACACGACTTTGTATAATAAAGTGTCTGTGAGTATCCACATTACTGAAAAACTGACGTAGGTGAGTGGCGTTGGTGAAATGGCATTGATAGACGTAGTGGTTTGGGAAGCTTTCTGCTCCACAGAAGCACGTTGCTGTTTCCGAGATTCCAAAGACAAAGAAATAAACAGGAAACGATCCGTGGCCGTGACAAGGATGGTGATTTGTGGGACGGGCATGTGTCTTTTAAGACTGGATTTTGAGAAGGAATCGTCCTTACGTTTCCCGTATCACCCGAGTCTCATTCTTGTTGCCATTTCAGAGTGGGTTTTTGAAGCAGCTCCTTTTTTCAACTTAGAAGGAGGTGACAGAATATTGATTTCCTCTAAATTTATATTGCTACTTTCTTTTTAGAAAGTTTGTCCAGTGTTTCGTTACCTATCAGGTTTTTTTCCCCCTGACCCATACCAGTTATATGCATTTATGGATACTGCTTTGAAGATGATGCTACATGCTGACAATGACTGGAGAGAAATGGTTATCATTCAAGACTACCAGAAGAGTGGACATGGTGTCTGAGTAAATAGTAATGGAAGGACATGACGAAGTCGGAGGTCTTGGAACAATCTGAGAGTAAAAAATGCTCTTTGTATGTCTTGATGAGCCGCCGTTGATATCAACATGTGTGCCCAAGACTTGCCCTGGGTGCGTGAGGATGGCGTTGATAGGGCATTCATTCTGTATTGGACTGAAATTTACATTATGGAAACTGGCACCCTGTATGGCACCGTGTATACAACTATACATAACCTGTATGTATAGCTCTATGATCCTGGTGTAGGCGATCACCTGTTCTGCTCGAATATAGAGAAGAATCAGTCCCTTAAGAATAGTGGTGAAGTTGGTAGCTCTTGTACTGCATGCCTTAACACAAATTTAAAGCAACGGGCGTTGGAATGTGAGCAGTTGTTTTTTGCTTTCGGCTCGACATTGGCTGAACCCAAACGGCAAGTACATAAAGAATGATTTTGCTCAGTATGAGTGGTGTAGAGAATTTTGCGAGTATAGGGTTTTTGTTTCCTCATATCGTGCGTTAGAACTGTCGAGCCTTCCGTGCTATGACTTCAGTTTTAGTTCTTAAGTAATGCAAGTGAGGAATCCAAGTCCCAGGAATTTTAATTCTAGAATGATTTTGATGCTCTTCCTCTCAAGCTCGATGTACGGTTTTCATCTGGGGTTAGTATGCGGCTTAGGGATTATCAGGGCCTTTGACCTCTCTGTAAAGATCTGTAGTTTGAGGTCATGACATTGGATTGTAATTTGATTACAAGTGTTGGTGACCCTTTTTTTTTGTATGAGTTCGTAACGAGTGTGTTCTTTGACTAGAAATGCAACGTCGTCCTCACATGCGATAAGGTGCACGTAGTCGGCCAGATGGCATTTAAAACAGAATTAAAACTGAAATTCCAAAGTATAAGGCCCGCACATGAGCCCAGGAGATAAACTCCTTGTTGCATTTTGTTGGATATACCTTGTTTGTGGGCAATGATTAAAATGCGGTGTTTAAAGAAACTAGACAGTCTATCATAAAGATCTGTTTGACATTCAGATTTTTTGAAGGCTTGCTTAATGGCAAAGCACCAAAGCGTGTCTGAGGTCCTTTTGAGGTCAGTTGAGGGGAAGGTTGTATGTAGCTGTTGTCTTCTGTTGAATTTTATGTCGCAGTGTATCTCTTCCAGATCTTGTAGAGTGGAGAGTCTTAGTCCAAATGTAGCGGGATGATGAATTCGGGGATATAGGAAGCATGGGTCCTGTGGATTTTGGTATTTTTAAGGCCATAGAGTTCAAAGTTTTCAATTTTATCCCGAGTTTGGGATAAGCGTCGACCAATCAGAGCGAAGCTAAAACGAAGTGGCGTTCTACAGAAGATTTCGCTGTTACAAAACAAGCAGAGCGAACGCGGGAAGCCAATCGAGCAGGAGAACAGCGCGGGAAAGTTGTAGACACATCCACGCATGCGCAAATTTAGCTTCTCTCATTGGCCACGGCTTACACCCCGTTCTCGCAAGTGTGAACGGATTCCCGTATTTTATGCCCTTATGACTACGCCTCTATGTCCTTTACGCCGCCGTCTGAACGCGGCCTTCTATGACTAACACATCTGCGTCTTCTTGAATTTCATGTGCAACTGTCTGGGTTGTTTCAACCATAGCGCGTTGAAGATTTATTTGGACGCAGCGAATCGGGCTATTCAGGTAATTACTAGTAATGTTGAGGGTGTGATCACAATGGCAGAGTGATGACTTGAAAAGATAAGTTAAGGATATATGAAGTTACGCTTGAAGCGTTCAACATATTTCCCATAGCTTGGGCTCTTCTTCACGGAACGCACAATATACTTTGTTTTCGCTGTGCTATTGTGTGTTGGTGGGGGACAAATTTCCGACACCCATAACAGCGTTTGGTGTTATAGTGCTCTGTGATTCTATATGCCTTCCAGCCTATGTAGAGACTTGGGTACTTCAGTGTGTTTCGGAAAGCTCTGTGTGTGGAACTTGGAATATGAATTGGAATGATCTGTTGCCACCGGACTTTAAAATCAGAATGAGAAAATTATCTAATAAACTGTTAGGGATTGAGAATAATAAACATTCCGCGACATTACTACCGTAAAACTAATAAGTCTAAATTGAGAGATGTTTAAATGCATTGCTTCGCCGACACAATTCAGAAGGCATATGGAGCTGTAATACATCTGGGATACGTCACAAAGGGCAGTGAAATAGGAAGTAGTTTTGGAAATTACAAAACCAGAATAGCTCCAATGAAGAAGCTATCTCTTCCAAGACTAGAGCTGATGGAAGCCATGATCGGAGCAAGATTAACCTCAAATGTCAAAGAACAGATAAAGAACAGGCGCCAGATGAATATACACTTTGGTCAGATTCTTCTGTAATGTTACATTAGATATAGGGCGCTTAAAAATGGAAGCCATTCATCCAACATCGAGTAACAGAAATACGAGAGAAACCATCACCTGAGTCCTGGAATTATTATCTTAGAAATGAAAATCCAGCTGACATGCTGACCAGAGGAACGGCGACAAAGTTCATGAAAGGAATAATGTTAGCTGAGCGACAAAATAGTGATATGTGATGGCAGGGACTTAATTGTTATTACAGAGTATTGATTCGTGGCCTAATGAATGGCCTAATGAATCAGTAAAAGAATTCGAAGACAGTGAAAAGCTTTAACTTCAAAAGGAAACTGTAGTAAACGTTCCGTTGAAACGAATTCATTAAAAAGGTATTCATCCTTTAGTAAATTGATTGGAACTACTGTGTCGTATTTAAGGTTATGAACAACAGCAGAATCGAGACGCCGTTAACAGAAGGAATTTAAGGCATCTGAATTGCAGAATTGCAACTAAAGTGCTAGTCAAATGTGTACAACATTCTGAGTTTCAATCTGAAATTAGTTGTCTGCTGTCGAAAAGATCAAATTTAAGTAAAAGTACGGTTTTATCTTTAAATGTATTTCTCGACAGAAATGAACTTTTAAGAGTGGGGGGGAGATTGAGTCCCTCCAAACTTTCAGAATCTCAGCATCATTTCACTGAATTTCTCATAGATTATTATCACAAAATGTCTCTTCATGCGGGCGTTCAAATAACACTTTCTCTCATTAGAAAATTGTATTGTATAACTTCCGGACAAGACAGAGTTAGACATGTCAAAAGTAATTTCATGACTTGCTTCCGCACAAGAAACCAAATTCTAGAAGACTTACCTAGACGTACAGTAGAAACAACCATTCTAAAATTAGGACTAGAATTTGCAGAACCAATTATCACCAATTGTAACTTAAAAATACCTAGGGTTATTTTAAAATCATATATCGCGATATTTACTTCCTATAGTACAAAAGCCATTCATTTAGAAAATGTATCCTATTTGTATACTGAAGCATTTCTAGCATGCCTTAGAAGGTTTATTGCCCGGCGGTCCAAACCCTTCATTGTTTGAATTTATAACTATACAAAGTTCAAGAAGCAAAAAATGTTATTGATAATCTCCTTAGAATTTGTAGATCGGATCTTATACGACGCCTTAGTTCCGAAGAAGACATAACGTGGAATTTTATTCCTCCTTCTTCCCTACAATTTGGTGGATTATGGGATACTAATATCAAATCAATGAAGAAAACTTTGATAAAAGTCGCGAAAACAGGAATTTTAAACTACGAGGAGCTTCATGCTTTAATTAAGCAAATAGAAGCTTGCTTGGACTCTCGATATATGTCTCCTATTTCGGCTGATCCAACGGATCTTCAACCTTTGACTCCAGGTCATTTCCTAATAGAAGCTCCACTTTTGACGATACCAGAACTAAATGATTCTGCAGGTTCTTTGTCCTTCTCTTCTAGATGGACCGTAATTCAAAAGCTTAGAGCTCAATTTTGGAACCGTTAGAATTTGGAATATCTCAACTATTTGTAGACCCGTTCAACATGGAATCAACCGGAATTCAACCTCAAAGGTAGGGAAATTAGTTTTGCTGAAGGATAAACACAAGACTCCCATGAATTGGATACTAGCTCGTATTGAAGAGATCATTCCTGATCCGGATGGACTAGTACGAATAATGAACATCAGATCATCAGATGAAATCTT